CGCAAACATTGATCACATTATATAAACTATAATGCAATCAAGACTAAATTATAAGAAACAGAAATGATTAATTCATTGCTTAGCTGACTGTTCAGTCTGTTAGTTCACCTCAACTCCCGAGTCTTCGGATCGGATTCTTCAGATTGAAAGCTATGCAGTCTTTACAGGAAACAGAAATGATTATTTCACCTTCCAAGTTTTTGGGTTCGAGTCGTTCGTTCTTTTGTCACGTGACCGCTTCCCAGATCAGTATCTTGTAATGTTATGTTATATTTAGGAATTATCAAAGTGATTTTCCCCATCATACGAATGAAGTTTAAAGCATTAACCAACTCTTCATGAACGGACGACTCAAACCCGAACCCGAAGACTCGAGAGGTGAACTAATCATTTCTGTTTCCTGTGCAGAACCTATTGGATGTTACGAATGCGTGGTTAACACGAAGTGAACGAATCCCTCGCTGAGACAACCCGTCGTTCCTGAATCATATTAAAGATTCGTTCAAAAAGAATGAATCGTTCAAGAAAGACCCATCACTACTATTGGCAGTCCTCACAAGTGGAAAAACATGAAGCAAGATAATGAAGGCTGACATAGTTAGAGAGATTTAGCAAGTGATTTGAAGCCAGGGTTATTGCGGGCCTCTCTATTGTGTCACGGTGACTCGCTGTCTGTCAGAAGTGTTGAATAGTGTTCTGGGCTGAGAACAGGGGATAGCGCAGTTCATTATCCATCTGTTAAATATTTAATTCTGCGATTTGATAAAAAAATGATCTAACATTTATGATGCGATCTATCGCATTGTAACATAGACACATTCATTTCATCTGTGGAGGCTTCCCTCGGGTCAGAGAGACTCTATCCCTCTTTCTTCCATCACAAAAATCTTTTTTTGTTCCTAAATCCATATATATGTATATCATATATATGATATATATATATATATATATATATATATATATAATATATGTGTGTATATGTGTGTGTGCGCGCCATCATTATGTTGGGGAACAAACGGCAACAAATTATTGGGTCTGCTAACCATTGTGACCAGTGTGAAGAGCTCCATTGACGCCATGCGGTTGGTGGGCGAGGGGCGCACAAAGCCGTTTGAAACTGCGGCCTTTATGTTTTCTCTACGTAAACCAAGACGTTCCATGTCTAATGATTTCATGTAATAACTGGAGACCACTGCGCTTTTCCGAAACCCGACAAACTCCCACACACCCCACCCCCACACTGTGTTTTCCCATCCCTCTTGGACAAGCTTCATGGAAACGAGCGTCTTTGTAAGTCTGCAAAAAAAAAAAAGAGAGAGAAAAAGAAAAGCAAAAAAGGGCCCAAAAGAAAATAAAAGCATAACAATACAGGGTCCCTGTGAGATGCCTGCCATGTTCTAACCACCAGGCCCCATTAAAAAGAGCCTGGGCTCCTACAGAACATGGCAGCATATTGATAGCATATGACTGATTCACACAAGGACAAGTAGCCTACGTCTCTCTCTCTCTTTCTCTTTCTCTTATCCTTTTCCTCTGGTCTTCCTTTAAGACCAGGGATCAGGGCAATGTTATACAAACTCAGAGTGAAAAGATGAGAAGTATTCTACCTGTTATTTCAGCCAGGGCCTCCTTCTCATCCTGTGTTCAGAAATAAACAAACGATATAATCACACAACCGTACTGTACGACCACAAACAGTAGTACACACTTCCCCCTTGGTAATGGTATAATTGGACAGCGTGCCACAACATGAGCTGGTGTGAAAAAAAAGACTAAAATAAATAAACTGCCATCAAGCAGCACAGCAAAGAGAAAATAAAAGCCTTTTTTAAGTACAGTCCATTTCTAACAAATCATTTACAAACCTTAAAGTTTTTCCCTTACTTTAGAAAGTAAATTATTTAAAAATAAGAGTATATCATTATTATTATTGTTATTGGAATATTTATTCTGACAATTAGAATAAAAAAATCTAAATTATTCAAAAAATTATTTAGTAACACTTTATAATAAGTATACACTAATAAAGTACTTACAAATCATTAACAAAAACACTATTAGTTTATAGTTAATTCATAGTTTATATACTGTGGTTAATACATTAATAGACTCTATACAAAATAGTGAGTTCTTCATTCATTGTCACTATAATTACCACAATTATTGATTTTTAATTAGCTCATAGTAAAGGAATTGTTGACCGGTAATATGGAGTGAATAGTTGTCACTTTAGATTAGGTCAAGGAAAATGGAAAAAAATTTCATTAATAAAGTACTTTAAACCAACCTCTATTCAGAGGTGTAAAGAGTACCTAAAAACTATACTTGAGTAAAAGTACAGATACCTTACAGTGAAAATTACTCCACTACACGTTACAAGTCACCAATTCCAAAACAACTTGAGTTAAGGTCTTAGAGTATCTGATTTTAACAGTACTTAAGTATTTTACTTATACTAAATATAGGCTCAAAAAATGCACTAGTCAAAGAGACATGCAGAGTACAGATACTCATTCAAAAATGTAGTGAAGTAGAGAGTAAAAGTTGCTAATATCTTTGATACTCAATACAACTACAAAGTATCCAAAAATATACTCAAGTACAGTAACTAATTACATTTACTCCAATACTTTACACCTCTGCCTCTATTGAACATTAATAGCATTCATATTCGCTGTCCCTTAAAATGTTTACAGATACATTAAGGACACACACACACACTTTCTCTCTTCATACGCGAAATCATTTTTTATGCTGCACAAACTGTATGTTCTATCCCCTAAACCTACCGCTCACAGAAATCTCTCTCTCTCGGGTAGGTTTAGGGGTAGGGTTAAGGGACAGAATATAACAAAACAACAGAAATCTATTAAGGTTGTATTACAGTTTGTACAGTGTAAAAACCATTATGCCTGCGGATATACTTTGTGTAAAAGTAAAGGTTGGTTTAAAGCACATAATAACATTTTATCATTTTATGTGACCTAATCTAAAGTGAGAACTATTTATGGTTAATAAGTTGTTAACGCATTATCTAACTCTTTACATATGAGCTAATTAACCCTTTAAACCCAAGGTGTCCTGCCGGTGGGACACCTCCCCCACGAAAATAAATCATAATCAAATTACTAAGCAATCACTGAATGGAATAACACAAAATAGAAAAAAAAAAAATACTAATCATATTTTTCAAAGCACTGCCTTGATCAACAAAAAATGGGTATCATTTGAAAGCTTAGAGTCTCAACTTTACAATGCATGTAGCAATTTGATTAACTCCAAAGTAGTGCTGTTATTTGCTGATTAAAAAAATTAAGTTTTCATTATTTACAAAATGTTTTTTTTTTGTGCCATGTACTCTAATATGTCAAAGACATCATACAGCTCAGATAGTCATGTGTCATATGTCATTTGAAAGGTCTCATCAAGTAGAATAAAACAAGCATAATTGTTTGGGGCTTTAACTAAACTTGAGCAAGTTTTTGTACAAGATGTCACCCCAGACCCATTTGAAAATAATATATGAATGCGGCATTTATGTCACTTTATTGCTCGCAACTTCATAAAACAAACATGCTCAGATCATGGGAAATTTAGAGCAGATTCTCCTGATTAAAAATAGCCCAAACTCGCTATAACTCATCATTTATAACTAAAGATATTCCTCATGTATTTATAACACACATAAAATTGACCAGGCAACATGTAGCTTAGCAAAAAATAATAATAAAATAAATACAAATAAATAAAAAAATAAAAAAATCAAAGGTAACTTTCATGTGGCGTTTTCACTCGTAACTTCATGAAACATGCATATAGTGGAACATTTCACGTCATTATTTGCAGAAAATTATCCCAATTAAAAAGAACCCAACTCATTGTAATTCATTATATCTAGATATTCCTTATATTGTTATAAGACACATAAAACCGCTAAATAAAATAAATAAATGGCAATTTTCATGTGGCATTTTTGTTCATAACCTCATGAAATATGCAGATTGTGGAAAATGGCACATCATTATTTTTAGCCCAAACTCACCATAATCTATCATTTAGATCTAAAGATTTTCATCGAGTTATAACACATAAAACCCCAAAGGTGCGTGTTATAACTTTCACATGGTTTTTACGCTTGTCATTTCACGAAACATGCTCCGATCCTGATAGTACATCCGAAAATAGCACATCATTTACAGCAGATTCTCACGGTTAAAATGAGTCCAAAATAAAAAATAATCCATTGCATCTTTCGTGTGTATGATAACTAAACCCATGAACTGAATAAATCAGTTGGAGAGCTTTATTGAACACTTGGCAAGTAAAATGTAAAAGCCATCATATTTCTGTCTATTCTGTCTTTTTTATAACTTTTTTAAATATAAATAGGTACCATTTTAAAGCATCCAGCCATTTTGATCAACTCTTAACGAGTGCTGAGTAGTCCCTCTAAACCGGAGTGAATCACCGGCGGGCGTCACCTAGCGAAGAAAAAAAAAAATCATATTTTTCAGAACCACTGCCTTGAGCAACACAAAATAGGTGTCATTTGAAAGCTTAGAGTCTGAACTTTACAATGCATGTGCATTGTGCACTGAACTTTACAATTCCAAATAGCTTACTGTAACTTTTGGATACTTTATGCTATCACCACACAATTTGAAACAGATACAGCTAACATGTTGGGGAACATCGCCAAAAAAAGAGTTTTTCCCTCTACCTTATTTCTTTCTTGAGATATTGAATGTCAAATAAGAAAGATATGAAAATTTTCCTTGAGCACACTAATTTTCATTTTGCAAATGATTTGTAAGCACTTTATTAGTGTATACTTATTATAAAGTGTTAATTCTTTTAGATGCTAAAAATGACATTTAACGCATAAGAACTTCAATCTAGTGAAATAGCCCAACAATAAAGCATCAGATATTACAGGTGCTAGTAAGTAGGGGTTGAACAAAAAATGAAAAATATGCTCCTGACTTAGGTTGAAATTAGATTATTCCCATTTTTAAACAATAATTAGAAAAAAAATTGCAATACATACATTATTAATACATATTAAAAAAAACAAATCCTTCCTAATTTGGTGACAGCCATGCTCAAACTGTACTGTGACCACTAATTTTTGCTCAAGTCAGAACTTGAGGGTTCTCATTAAAGTGCCATTTCCATTTTCCATTTCCTAAATCCTTTTGCTGGTTTCAGAGGAGGCTGTGATGATTCTGTGTCGTTTCGTTTGCAGTGAGTTGCTGCTCTAAATTCTGTTCTGGTTACAGCAATGAACTTAGAAATGACAGAGTATTCAAGTATCTAATAATTGATAACATTATCTGATAACTTTCAAAGGTCTGAATATCATATTTAACCCCAAAGCTGATCTTAAACAGACGAGTATTTATATCCGAAGCTATATCAGATCAAATTCACTTTAGTGATTCCCCTGTCAAATATTAAAATATCTACAAATTTAGTCATGTAATGTGAATGGCCGCTTTCCAAGCTCTGTGCTACGCCAGTGGGACACCAAACATGAAAAAATAAGAAGACCGCACAAGTCTTAATCCCATTTGTTTTGCCACTGAATTTGGCCAGCATTAAATTAGCTTCATATCCCTAGAACACCATCAGTGAGAAAACAGCAACAGGCCAATGAAATGGTTTAATGTGCACTGAGTTTTATAGAGGTTGCTATAACTTTTTATATGTGGGGTGACATTTTGTGCCGAAACGGTAGGTTATAGGCTTTATGGCGTCATTAGGTCCTGACCTTAGGTCGGCCCGGAGTAGATGGCAATTCATCTGACATTGCCGGATGAGGTGGAAACAGGTCAATCGCATCCATCTGCTCCTTATAAATAACACAAGGATGAACAAAAAGAGGCAAATCATAAGTGATAATGCTTTGATAACTCGCAATAAATATCATACGGCACACAAAAGTATCTCACTGACCCCCTAAAATATGAAATACATTACAGATGGAGGTAGGATATTAGGACTATTTTTCTATGAGCTGTAAAGGAAGCACCGTTGCTTAATGAGGAGTAATGAGACTAATCTTGGATGCATGTGAGAAGACGGCGACATGATTATATTTGAGCCTTTAATTCGAATCCTCCGTCCGGCACACCTGAATAATCGATGCATCTGAAATAATAACGGCAGTCTGCAGCTTTATTGAGAGAATGCTTGATAGAAGGAATCCTTCAATAACTCTTGCAATAAAAGTCAGGCCACTTTTAATAACACATATGTTGGCAGGCCTGAAGTTGACCTTGTGATTGTGGCATTGCTGTGATATGAAAGCAGACACTTACATCTTTACGAAAAATCTGACAGGCCATTGTTAGTTTGCCCAGATTTTATATTTTGCAAAAACATATAAATAGCTAGTTACCATGCCCCCTTAATTACGCAGCAGTGGGTTCCCGGTTGCAACGTACAGCCAGATCTAGGACGCAAGGAAAATAAAAGAACCATATTTAGATTCAACCACAGTCCTGGGGAAGCCTTGCATCAACTTTTACTGAGCCTCGGTAGACTTTGTCACAACCTGGCAACCTCAGGTGGAGCGAGAGCCCACAACGTTTCAAGCCACAACTTGGCTGCCGCTCTGTCGGAGTGGGAACTGAAGACTCCAGAATTCCAGGCTGGAGTCCTCCGGCACAAAGGATAAAAATGGATATGAACCGAAATATGAGGTGGGCCCGCCTAGGCACAACACGAAAGCGGTTTCAGGTTTTTTGATTGTTTATTTTTACTTTGTTCTTTTTTCCATTAACCACAAATATAAAATAGCTTTTTTCCACCACATGAGAACATTAAAATCACATATACATGTTTTTCTTAAATAATAGCAGAGGTTTTTCCGGGTCATAAACTCTCTTTCGCAATGAGGCTGGATTTTAAATCATAATGTATTTCTTGGGGTCACATCATGACATTTGCTCCTCTGTTAACTTCCTGTCACTTTCAGCTCCCAAGAGAGATCTGAAACTGTCCCCCAGAGTGTCCCAGGAGAAAGCACTGAGGTTCACCTAGGGAAAAGAGAGACGAGAATAAAGGGGAAAGAAATGGAAAGAGCAGAGAACAGTGAAAATGTTATGACGGAATTGGAATTTTATTGTTTTATGATTAGTTAAGCAGTTTCTCTCACATGGGTATGCTTGAGAATGCAGATCTTAATCATTTCATAATTTTTGTCCAATTTTACCTTGGACATCAAGTGGGACCCAAACCAGTGTAAAGAAACAACAACAACTATAAATCAAACATTTAAATGTATTTATTAAATTATATTAGAATTATGTATTGTGTATATTTATTAAGTCAATAATTCACATTGTGGTTGGCATACTGTGTGTAAACAATGTCAAACCATATTTAGCGTAGCCTGTTTCTTTCTCTTCTTTGTTTTTTTGCATTAAAACTTCTAAAGTATATGTGGCAAATTTGCATCAAAATACAGTGGATTCATGACCTTTGACCTCAACAACAAAAGTTAATTTGAAAACTAAGACTATTTAGCTAACTGTGCATGCTTATAGAGCAGCATTTTTGCATGTAGCATTGCTTTTTTCCCTTAGAACAGACTTGTGACCCACCAGTTGTATGTAGTTTCCTTGATGAATGTTTATTCATGTAGTCACAGAATTTTATGACTAAAAAGCACTAGAATTTATGACTAGAATTCTCTGTAGAAGTCTTTGTGCTTGATTTGATTCCCAGCTAAATTAACATTGTTTACCTGAGTAACATGTTGTCTGACTAACTGTGGACGCTTGCAGAAGTCTTGTAGTCTTTTACACAGCTGCTCAGGTGTTGAATACAGATATGTTGCTACAAGAGGAAAATACATATTTGATAAGTCAGAAACCTCAAAGAGCAGAAGAGATCGCAGGCACTTTCAGCATTAAAAATTCAGCTGACACCATGCTGCGTGATGCTGTACATTATTGAACTGTGGTTATATTTACTTATTTATATACAAATTCCAGAATGGTTTATGGCAAATTCTTCAATTGTGCTTTAAGATGAATAAGTCATTAAATACCGAAGTTGAACATAGCAGCTTTGCCTGTGACAATAATCTTCTTTTGCAAATGAAATTGATGAAAATGCA